CCACTCCCCCTGCTTGTGTTCTCTCTCGCTGTGTCTATCAAATAAATAAAATCTTAAAAAAAAAAAAAAAACAGTATAATCTCTGCCCTCTTCATAAATTAGTGACAAATCCATAATAACCTAGTAAGTTTATTTTATTATTTTAATAGGTGCTAAATATAAATACTTCTTATATCCTATCTATACTCTTGTACTACTTAAAAGTCTTCTATAAATATAAAGCTATAACTGTCTCTCTTCAAGGCTTTCTGTATCACATAAGGACTGATTAGCTTTGGGCAATTCATTCATAGCCATCTGTCTTTGCTGAGTGGTCTTCACAAATCGAAGCAGATTGATGATGGCAGCAGGTGTCACTCCAGGTATACGACTAGCAGCTCCAATCTAAGAATTAAAACCATAAAACATAAGTGAGCTATATCAAATCAAATCAAATCTATTTTGCTAATAATCTGTGTATTATAGTTTATAAAATATTTTCAGAACTTATCTTAATGTATTTTCAAAATAACTATAAAGTAGATAAAGGGAATGTGATTATTATTACCTTCATTTTACAAATTAGGGAAAATGAGGCTCAAAGAAGTTAAAGCGACTTGTCAAAGGTCATGTTATATTGACGGAATCACTCTTCCCTTTAAAAATAACTTTTTTCAAAAAATTTTACAGGTTATATTTTTGTTAAATGCCTTTTATTATATGAATCACCACTAAAAAAAGCCACTGTCCATTACTATGATACACCATCCATTTTTAAGATACAACTCAGTTGCAGAAATGTTAAATGGGCATCTCAGAATGGATAAATATAGCCTATTAGTCTTTAAATATTTGTTACTAGAAGTCCAATACTATATACCATATAATAAAATTTTTAATTTGTTTGCAGACATTTACAGACACACATACACACACACTTAGACAGAAGCATGGGGTGAGGGACCTTTTTTATTTTTGCTCCCTTCTTCCTCCTAGTAGCTTCTAAGCCAACACTATGGAACTCCTAGGGAGGGAACCAAGCGGTGATTTGAAAACCACTCACATGTATTAACCTAATGTGCTTTCTTTTATGTCATGCATTATACTAGTTTGCACTGTGGTTTAGCACATAGTTGGGACTAGAGAATAATTTTAATCAACTCAATTCTTCTAGTTATTTATTTAGACTAAGTTTTTTTGTCTCTGAAAAACAAACCAACATCTGTCATACAAAGAGATATAATTATGAAAATAAGAGGTTAGATTTTTTATGATGAACTAAAACATTAATTATGTGACCGCTGTAAATCCAGGTTTAAAAAATTAAAGCACCAGCTCTTTATAACCTGCTCCACTGCCTGGTTTCTTACCGTTTCTGGGCGACTGAAATGTAGCTTCTCTCGAACTTCATAAGACAAAGACACATCTCTGAGGGTTAAATAATCTAGGTCTTTTGGCAGTTGGAGCGCTTCATCTTGCTGAACCTCATTTATTTGTTGTTGCTGATGGAACAACACTGATTCATAAGTGGCTGGTGAACAGAATTAATTATGTTATGACACTCAGAGTATATTTACTTGTGTTTTTATAGCTTTTTACAATTTACAAAAAACTTTTGTATATATTATGTCATTCAACACTTTTCCTAACACCAGGAGATAAATGGGGTTAAGTGTTCCCTTTTGGGGCGCCTGGGTGGCTCAGTTGTTAAGTGTCTGCCTTCGGCTCAGGTCATGATCCCAGGGTCCTGGGATCGAGTCCCACATTGGGCTCCCTGCTCGGCGGGAAGCCTGCTTCTCCCTCTCCCACTCCCCCTGCTTGTGTTCCTGCTCTCGCTATCTCTCTCTCTGTCAAATAA